CTCCAGAATATGACGTCATCTGTCATCACCGTCGAGCTCAAGGAGGCCTACCATAATCGCTCCATTCTGAAGCTGCTACATAATTTCTTCAATCGGATAACTGGTGAATAGCTTCTTAGAGACACTAGCTCTGACTATGCAAATGGCTTTTGACCAGCGTTTCAGAGACGTCGTAATCGTCTATGGTTTCTCGACGACCTCGTTGAGCTCGTACCGTGAACCATGTTTCCGTGGGAAAATCTTCTGATGTCGTCGGTGTAGAAGGCCCTATGTAATTTTTTGATAGAATAGAATGTGCTCTTCAATATGCAATTGAGCTCATTCGGTTTGGTTTGGCAAAGTGTAATTAATTCTGTTTTGAATGTGAGTAGGAGTGACTCTTTTTTTTGGCCCCCCTGTAGATTTGCTACTATCAGGCAGCATTGGAATTGCTATGAAAGCCTTCCATTCGAAGAGATATAGTCTCTCAAAATCCGTCGAGGGAACGTCGAGGATGCTGAATTTTCATGCGAGTTTTTGCCACTTAAAAGGCAATATCTCTCTAATTTCGCAAGATCTTGAAAAAAAAAGAAGTTTTGGAAAGCGGAAGGTTTGCGCTTTCTAACAGTATGTTTAGCTTCCTTCTACATTCTCTAGTTGAGGAGATATTTGCGTCGAGGATCTATCGAGGATGATTCTCGGCCGCTCAAACCGCTCCCTTCTTCACCATTGCAAGTGTAATTCGTTGGCAACGCTCGAAATGTGTCTAGAATAAATTCTCCCAACATAAGCGACAAGAAAAGGGCAATCGTCATCATCCGATCTCGTCTCAGTATAGGCCATGCATCCGACCTCCACTCAAGTTGCAGAATCGATTGAAAGGTGTTATATGATCATGACCAGTTGACAGAAGCTGCATTAGTAAACACATTTCGTAACTCCTATAGCCTGAGGAACAGCTTCATTTGCCCGGGGCCTCTCCTTCACGGGTGTACAGGGGGGAGCCAAAAAAAGCGTAACCAAATTAGCTAAAGAGCACATTCTATTCTATCAAAAAATTACATAGGGGCCTTCTACACCGACGACATCAGAAGATTTTCCCACGGAAACATGGTTCACGGTACGAGCTCAACGAGGTCGTCGAGAAACCATAGACGATTACGACGTCTCTGAAACGCTGGTCAAAAGCCATTTTGCATAGTCAGAGCTAGTGTCCCTAAGAAGCCATTCACCAGTTATCCGATTGAAGAAATTATGTAGCAGCTTCAGAATGGAGCGATTATGGTAGGCCTCCTTGAGCTCGACGGTGATGACAGATGACGTCATATTCTGGGAGACGGTGAAAGCAGCGAAGGTGGGCCTGATTCTGCTTATGGGGGGACATCTAAGGAATATTCGCCGTATAACTCCCAATAACAGCGGCATCCTTTGCGACGAAAAGTTTGATGATATGCGCCATGGGCAAAGTGACTTTTTTTTTGCCCCCCCCCCTGTACTTTTTGCCACAGGTGTCAGTGCCAAGCGTTTTCCTTGCAGAAATGCACTTCCATTTTTTGGACTGCTTTCGAATAGGTCCCTCCTATAAAGGTAGAGGAATGGAGCGACTGCAAAGAATATTTGTTTTTTTTCAGATGTCTTCCTTTTCTGCTGCGCTACACCCTCTTACTCCTATCTGCACCACGATACCACTGATGTTACTGACCCCCACGAGTACGACCCCCCATGACCCAGCCTGACAAGGTACGACCCCCCTGTCGAGGATTTCCTCGACCGATATTCACCCTGATCCGACTACTATTTATTTAGAACTGTGGAGCACTTTAAGGACGAATTCACGATTAGAATGAAGGTCGAAGAAGGAGTAATTCACCTAGTTGAGGGACCCGCGGACCTCCTGAGGGTGCGAACTGAAGCGCAATTGCACCGAAAAGTTGACCTCGGCGACCTATTAAGGCTCAATCTTGGCGCGGTGGGCCAGTGCACGCCCACCGATCATCTGATCACTCGCCGCAGGTCTATACGTGGCGAGTGATTAGATAGGTGAGAGAGCGTAGTGTTGAAGAGGGCACAGCGATGAGAGTCGCATCAATGCTCAAATCAACGGGCAAGGAAGGGGTCCCATTTCTCGGGTTCTGGGCCGTTTCTCATGGTTCTTCCTTCTTTCGTGTACCACTCACCATCCCTAGTTAATTTGAAATGGGTTGCCTTTTTCATCGTGAATTCGTCCTTTAAGGGAGAAAAAGTTAGAAACGTCAATGAAGTCCGAGTTTGGGTTGGTAACGTTTTTGATTTCCACCGTTGTAGACGTCTATTCGCTAGTAGGAAAATGGCGATGAGTTATAGAACAAGAAGGAGGCTGTATCTCACTAAAGCACAGCGACAAATAAACACCAAGTAAGGCTTACGTAACACAAGTATTACCAATAGGTCATTAATATATCATGGCAGTCCATTTTACCCATGTTCATTGGTGGTGCTGGAGCGTGCGAAGAGCGAGAAACGACGGGAATAGGATTTTTGCCTAATACGTCTGAAGGGAAGATCATTTGGTAAGTTGAACAAGTTTCTGGGGATTAAAGTGGTTTCGGCACTCTGCAAGTTGTAAACCGCAAAACGCGGAGCTCCCGCTCCTCTTAGATCTCAGCGAGATTAATCACCCCTCTAGAGTGCTTTGAGTGCTTCGCACTGAAACGCCCATCCCTCATTAGTTAGAGTCGGTGTGAGCACCATGTACCTGTACATGAGTCCGACCAACTGAGCCGCCAGAAGGGCGTTGAGCAGACGAGTGAGGAAGAAGCCGCGGATTGGATTACTCTTTGAATATTCACGAACTCTGGTATAGATAGTAGAATACCACGACATATGTAGTGAACTGAAAATGTAACTAGTGTTTAGCACTGAAAACGAGGCTATTCTAGTGTTATCAAACCTGTGCCGCAACGGTCAGTGTGTCTTGTAAATCAGTACATGGCCACACTCCTTCCGCCACCCACCGTTCTTCACCGCGTAGAGAAGTCAATTGATGCTCACTCAATTCGGAGCGAGTTTTATGATAAGGTTTTTCCTACAAATCAGCTACTCTGAAAATGTTCTACATTCTTCCAATGCTTTGGTCAGAGTCGTTTATTGGCCTTATCACTCACCCACAAAGCGAGACTGCGATTCACTTTACGATGCTGAGTTTTGTGCTTGTCTATTTTATTTACTTACAACTCTTAGGAAGTACTAACTCACAGAAGGAAATAACCATCACAAGAAAATCAATGGCTATGACGGTGCTCCAAGAATTCCCACCCAATCGACAGCACAGCAATTTTCATGATAACCAAACTTATTGGAGTGAGACTGAAACTCGTCGCTTTCAAGGTTCAAGTTTCGACGCACCAGCCAACGAATTCCGCACGACTTTTTCTTTTACCTCCAATTGGGACAGTAAGGAGCGGAATCAGCTTATGGTTAGTGAAAGTGCACGAAAGGGGTTGTGCTGCCTTGTACGCGGTCTGCGACGGGGCAGCTCATGTAGTGGAACGATAATCTCAGTAAAGTTTCAAAGTACTCCGGAATCGTAACGTATGCACTCATCAAGGCCCGCCATAAAAGGGCCGATTTATTTGCAAGATGTTTCGTAGCCGCCGAATAGAAGAGCCGACCCTGCATAACATGATCTATCTGGGGCTCTCATCCATGCCACAAACATCTGGCTTAGTAGACTTCTCACCTATTCACTTATACCTTTCCAACCGTCTGGATAGTCTCTTCGAAGAGAGACGGCACGCAATCAATAAGCGGAGCCCAACCAGGTGGGCGGGAATTATTCCAAACTTATGTCAATGTGCAATAACTTCCATTTTGAAAGCAAAGAACCATGTGAACTTTCATTTGGCGCACATATCGCAGTATGCAGGACTTGGCCAAAAGCGACTACTGTAGTGGGCGGGGCTGGATCACATGGGCGCGGCTCACTCCAAAATCTCTTGAAAATATACTTTTCCGCGTAAATGTCTCAAATGAGGTTGGGAATTGTAGTATCGATTGGGGGCTGTGGTAAATGTGGAAATTTCTCGAGGGCACATGTCGATCACTATCGATGAATATCTCGGTTTTTGAGTAAGAGGCAAAACGAACCACCTCTTATTCTTTACACAAAAATTTAACTTGTTAGTTATTTGGTAGTAGTGATGTTTACTGATCATCGAGGGAAACCCGAGGTCAGTTAAACATCAGCTCCGTCCTACGGGTTACTTTATACTTTTGTACGATAAGAGGCGATTGCCTCCTTATCACCAGTGGTGATTGCTCTGGACCAGTGGTCCTTTTTTACGTCAGTGACGTTTTTATTCATTTACCTTTAATTACTTTATTCGACTCATTTCACAAAATTCAACTTCTTCTTTTTCTTGCTCTACATAACTTCTTTATTATTAGTAATGCTTCAACACTAACGTATTGTTAACCTAAAAAATTTCTTAAAACTGCTCTGCGTATTTCTTCTACGGCACATTATTCTTCACTCGTTGTTGGAACTTCTTCACAACGAGGCATTTTCTGCATGTTCGTTTCCGAATCTTCATCATCACGCTTTCGTTTATTACGTTGCTCCTAAAAACTTTACATTAATAACTTTTTGGTTATATAAAATACAACTGTTTAATGCCTCGCTGATTGAACCATCGTCTTTTTTAGGATCTCCTTTATTCTTATCAGCATGTTCGACGACTTCTAGTTCATCATTGTTGAAGAGCGCATCCAAGGATATTGACTTCCATTTAATTAGTCCTGCCTAATAACAAGGTCAGTTTTTCGTAATATTTCATTAACTTATATACTACTATTTGCACTATTCGCTCGTAAAATAACAGCTTCATTGAAATCTGACTTCTCTTCATCAGAGAGCATTTCTTTTATTGCTGCTCCCTTCCAGTCGGTATAATCCCATCCAAGCAATATTGCCAAAGTGGTAGACTTATATTTCTATAATAAGAAACAACTTCTCACTAACATACTAATCACATTACTTGCTTATATACAGATACAACCACAGCGATATTTACCTTTGCATTTTTGGTGAATTCTTTCAAAGTTATTATACCGTTTTTCACTAAGACTTCGGTGATGTTTGTTTTATTCTTCTCACAATATTTCACTATTTTCTTTCGCAGATATAAACTGCAAATACCCATGTTAATGATATTAACCATGCTTTATTTATTATTCATACCTGAGGTTTTCAGCATCACTCAATTTTAGTGTCTGGTCTCGCACTACCTTGATTGCACGATGAGTACTTTTGTTGTATACCATAAAGTTTTTAATTCCGGTTTCCACAAAGAAGTCCCAAAAGCTGGAACTCATTTCCGCCTTGAAAATTTCTTTCTTTTAAATGGTTTCTGCTATAAAACCTTTTGTGTTTTTGAACTCACTCTGAAATTGGATGTTCTTTGAAAAGAACCGGCGGGTTTTGCCCAACCGAGGGGATTGCAGTCCTTTTCGTTCTTGTATCTGAAATATTATCAAGGCAATTCTCAACGAATTGATTGTAAACTATTGCTTTCTTACATTATGATTTCGTTCAAAAACTTTTTCACAAGTTCCTTTGTGGAAAGTTTATCAGGATTTGGAATGAACAACACTCTCAAATTCTTCGATAACACACATCGGTTTACGAATTCCTGATGTGCTTCTGCCCTTTTTTCCACATTAATATTAGCCACGTCGAATCCAGGTCTCTTAATAAAAAGAATTGTAGCTTATTGAATAAGTACACTACCTTATATACATCTATAAGCAACATAGTAATATAAAAACACTCACAGCTGACATGCTGATACACCGATAGCAATGATGCACTAATATCTATGCAGTTCCCAAAATAAATAATTGGATTTTTTCTCGGCTGTACGGTATCTGTACAGGACCACTCATTGGTTACGGTAATTATTGATTGAATACCTTGCTTACATATCTACACATTTGGTATTCAATCTTATTAATAATTATCCTTCCTCTATT